CTATCGAACCGCCGATTGGACTAAACGATTACTGAACGTTTTCTACCTAAAAAAAAGGTCATCAACTTGAAAAAGTTGGGACTTGGACAATTGTTTGGACTTCTTCAAAATTCTGTCCGAGAAATTGTCGGATTTCAAATTTTCCCGGGGCGTACGATAATTTTGTGCCGCGTACGATAATTTTGCGCCCCTGTGTCCATCAAACGAACTAAAGTCTCTGGGATCACTGGGTGCATGACATCAAACTGTAATTGTTGGAATTAACGGTGTACCTATCAACAGAATTAAATAATCAATTATTTGATAGAAAATTACTGTACATTTAAGAATATTGCTATAAGGAAAGAGTGAAATCTTTCAAATTGTTCTTGTAAAAGTAGAAAATATATATATGTTCAATTATTATGTCAATTTAATAATAATTGAATTATTGCATATAAATGTAATTAAGAAGAATCATTGTTTTGTAAAACTGATTAAATATATTATCAATGATATTTTTACATTGATAAACATATATCTTTTAATTATATTATAATGTTCTTTCAGTTATATATGTATGCTGAAAACACATCATAAAATATATGTTAAACGATACATATCTCCAAAATATCTAACAATTTCCTAGAATTTAGGCAAAAATATGATCAAGATAACAATATCTCAGTATATAATGGTGTTATATTTTTGTTGATACAATGTGTGGTATATTTTGTTGTATCTCACAGTGTTCGGATGTCAATGTTAAACATTCGGACGAGGTAAACATTTAGGAAATAATGATCTTCCATTTTTTATGATATAGATGTATTTATGATTCTATGAGTAATATGTCATTGTTTGATTTGTATTTTTCAGTGGGATAAATGTAAAAATCTTCTAATTTCTCGAGGTCCTGATAAATTAGTAAAAAATTTCATATCATTGACCGATATATGGTGCTGTCATTTGGCAGCTAGTGTATTGTGGACACAAGGTTTGAAGTTAGCGGAACAACCGCTAATAGATTCAGATGGTAATATTCTTCTGTGGAACGGAGATATTTTCTCTGGCTCTTTGGTAAATATTTATTTGTCAATAAATTTATCATGTATATATACGTATAAGAAGGAAAACATAAACCAAATTGTAGGCAAAAAATGATACATCCGACAGTATTACTGTTTTAAATGCATTTAGCAAATCTCTTAATATTACGAAGACACTTCGGTGTATCCAAGGACCATATAGTTTTATATACTTTCAAAAATCAAGTAAATTGTTATATTTTGGACGAGATATTATTGGAAGACATAGCTTGCTTCTACAGTTGAATAATGAGAAGAATTCGTTAACTATAACGTCTGTTGGTGGCAAATGTTTTCAAAATATATTGGAAGTTCCTGCAATTGGTATATTTTTAATAAATTTATCCGATATAAAGATAAATCTTACTTGTTATCCGTGGAAAGAACCAGATGTTATATTTGAAAATGTTATTGAAGAATTAAAAAATGCTTTAAATATAAGCATTAATGTCAAAGATACTGCAATAATTGAAGAAAATGTATCTAACAAGTTAATAATGCATTTAAATCCGACTTCCAAAGATTTAGATTATTTAGAAAGTTATTCTTGTTTGAGAGACTTTAATGATACAATAGAGCATTTATTGACAAATGAAATTGTTTCCCATAGAATAGAATACTTATCTAAACTTTTACATGAAGCAGTCGAAGTGCGAGTAAAAACAAAACCAAATTTCTGTAAAAATTGTATTTCAATAGTATTAAGAGGAGAAAGTGTCAACTGTAATCATGGAAAAATAGGTATATTGTTTTCTGGTGGACTCGATTCAGCTATTTTGACATTGATTGCCCATAAGTACGTACCACAAAATGAACCTATTGATTTGATAAATGTTGCATTTGAAAAAACAACAACAACAGTTGTCACATCACAACAAAATAAGCATATTAAAAATACTCATTCATATGTCTCGCAAGTATACAATGTTCCTGATAGAAAAACAGGGAGACAAACTCTTTCGGAAATATTACAAATTTGTCCGAATAGAAAGTGGAATTTTGTTGAAGTATGATATGAAATTTATTACATTTTTAATCAACATGATAATTATATTAATGAAATGTTATCAATGCCTTTATTATTGTAGGTAAATGTAACACAAGCAGAACTAGCAAAATATCGATCTTCTCGTATCAGCGATTTACTTTATCCTCTCTGTACTATTTTAGATGAAAGCTTAGGTTGTGCTATGTGGTTTGCGAGTCGAGCAAAAGGCATCCTTTCAAATACGGATATAGAAATATATGATTCTCCGTGTCGTATACTCCTTCTAGGTATAGGTGCAGATGAATTATTTGGCGGATACATGAGACATAGAAGGATATTGAAACATAAGGGTTGGAATGCTTTAAAACAAGAGTTAAATGATGAATTGGCCAAAATTTCTCAAAGAAATTTAGGAAGAGATGATAGAATTGTTTCTGATCATGGTCGGCAATCCAGATTACCATACCTCGATGAAAATGTGATAGAATACGTTCAACAATTGCAGCCATGGGAAAGGTATACAGAAAAACCAAAATCAAAATATCATCTATCTTTTATAATTGCTTTTATAATAGCATCAACGCTTCTTCATTTTCTTTCTAGATGTTTTCCAACAGAAAAAATGCCACCTGGTTTAGGAGATAAACTGTTGTTACGGTTATTAGGGCGTAAGCTAGGCCTTCAAAATACTGCTACTTTTCCTAAAAGAGCTTTTCAATTTGGATCTCGTATAGCTAATAGTAAAGAAAATGCTAAAGATATTTCCCAACGATTATAAAATAAGTATAAAACGATCAAGTTAACGCAAATATATTTTTACAACTACAACTTTAATACAACTAAATAAGAAAACAATGAACAAACAAATAACAAATAATACAAATGTTGATCTTATGAATGAACAACAAGAAGAAACTTTTTAATAGGGTAAATAAAATACCTTTATATTCTAAAATTATTTAATTAAACATCTAGTTAATAAGTCTGAGAGCCTTCAAATAAATATAGATATACAGGTGACCCTATAACAACACGGTAGATAGGTTCCTAGAAAATGCCGTGTTATTTGGAACCGTGTTGTTTGAGACCCAGAGCCAATGCAACAAGGGGGATTACGTTCCGAAAACTTTTTAAAAACAAATATATATATATTTTTTTAAATAAACAACTTAATTTTTATTAAAAATATAAATGTATGAACAAAACAAAACAAAACAAAACAAAACAAAACAAAACAAAAAATATTATTTTAATTTAACGTAACTTTAATTTAATTTATTTCTTCGTCGTCACTGTTCAATTTAATTAACCGAGAACGTTTTTTCGGTGGAATGATATCATCTTCACTTTCAGAACGTTTTTCTTTTTTTTTTTTAAGTCCCTTTTTAAAAAATTTGTAATTTTACTTTGCTTGTTGTTTATTACCAGGTCATTGTAAATTTCTTGGTATGGAGCTAGACAGTTTCGATACTTCCTTTTGAATTTTCGGCTTCTTTCTTTGGAAGGATCTGTTCTCAAGAAAAATGACTCGAGATTTTCAGCTAAGCTTAGGCCTTCTTATAATATTTTTAATGTTAACTTATTAACAGCACAATCTTCATTAGTGCTAGTGTCCTCAGGATCAATTTCATTTACAATTTCGGATACCATTTCCATCTAATCTGCTTCGTCAACTTCTTCTTCCACTAATAAACCTTGAACGTCCACAATAGCCATATCCACAAAACCTTCGCCTCCGATTGATTTAGCAAGTTCTAATATGCCACCAATTTCATTTTGTGATGATTCACGCACGTTATCTATTTTAACTGAAGAGAGCCATATCTTCTTTCAACACGCATTTATGTTTTCAGTTCACAACAGCGTGAAACACTTTTGTTTTCAGGCCATGGAGATGAAAAAAAATACTTTTCGCAAAACTATATCTTTAAGACGGCAAGCCTTGCCGCGGCTGTAGAAGTACAGTGTTGTACAAAGGTTTTTTGAAAGAGAAAACAGTTTTATAGAATGCCGTGTTGTAGGGGGGTTCCCGCAGATTTATGAATCGTGTTATAGCGAACCCGTGTCATGAGATACCGTGTTGTTTGAGGGTTACCTGTATATCAATATACATATTGGAATAATTTATATTACAAATAAATCCAAAATTATTATCTGTTATACTCCAGTACTGTAAGCGGCAGATCTTCAGAATTCGTTATATTCCGATGTGTAATATACGTGTTATGCGTTTCTTTTCAAGTATTCTTATTTGTCCAATCATTTACAAATTGTGGTAACAAAGAGGACATTACCTCAGATTGAAATTGACAATTCATACTACCTTCCCGATCTTCTCTATTTGTCAAATCAAAATTGTAACTGGTTGAACTACTTGTGTTATCCATATTTGTTATATTTGTCCTATTATCATCATTACTTTTAATTACAGATTTGTCTGATACGAAGGCACTTCCATTTACAAAAACAGGGATTTCATGCGATTGAACACTTTCATTAAGATTTTCTATTTGACCAAAGTTTTGTAAAAACAATGGTAATTCTTTAGATGATACTTCTAAATCTTTATTAACATTATCAACAGACGATATAATAATATCGTTAGCGACCAAATGTATATCTTCTTTTTTGGCATTACATTTTCCCAAAGTTTCCATACTTTCTGTATTATTTCTTATTAAACAAGGATCCATAAGATCCGCAACATTTGAAAAATGTATAATCTCTCCGACGTTGACTCTGCATGATGACGATGAAGATGACGATGACAACGATTCAACCGTTTGCGACAATTTACCATTTTCATTGTTATTCAATTGAATTTTATCATGCATAAGTTTTGCTAAAGTATTATCTGAAATATCAATAATTGCAGCAGGCCCGTACTCTGGTCGCTTTGGTAAATCAACTACAAACCATAATAATTCAACTATTAATCACAAATTTGATTTTATAAGAATTAATTTAGTAAAAATAATAGGACATTTGAAAACCTTTTAAAATTTCACCAGCAACATAATCAGCGGCTCTAAATAATTCTGCTTCAATAAGAAGATTAAGTAATATTCCCAACGTAGGTCTTAATCTACCCATTGTACTCCATTCTTCCAGTAAAATTTTCGCACCATTTTCTCGATGTTTTTCTGCTACTTGATCAATAATGCTGAGGATAATAACATTTGTATTGTTTATTAAACTAAATTATTACATAAATAATTTGTATAAATATTAATGTAACACCAATGCCTACCTAATATGTTCACTATTAAACCTTGGTGCATTGGTATCATCTCGTGGAATAATTGCCATTAATTGTTTCCATGAGTCAGAAACATTTAGTATTTCTGCAAGCGCATATTTATGTGCTGGTTGTAACTTTCGAAGTTCTGTATTTGAATTTATGATTGAATTAGCCATTAATATAAATATATTATAATTTCATCTGTGTCTTTCTTTCTTATTATACCAATGAATTTATGGTTATATCGTAACAGCACGTCATAACGTACATGACAATCTCTTAGCGATTATTTAAAATGACGCGTGGTGGCGCGACGATCGTATTTACCTTTACTATCTTTGAGTCGATATAATATCTACCTACTGTGTAGTTTATGGAAAACAGTTGAAATCATTTGATATTATAATTTATGTAATATAAGATTCGAGCGCGCGGGAAATTTTCTTGATTAGGTTAAAATACAATTTTAATCAAAGAGAGTATGGAAAATTTTTTGAAAGGAGGTAAACTGAGTGCAGGAGACACGAAGAAACCTTCTTCTTCTCGTATAAAGGAAGAACGAGACGAATCGTTAATACCCTGGGTAGAAAAATAGTAAATAGTGTTTTCTTCTATCATGTAACCTTGCTATATTTCAGTAATTATTATTTTTCTATATCACCTAACTTGATTGACTTTGATTGTACGTAGTCTTGAATTATTGTCAAATTAGAAATTTTTTTTTAACTATTTGTATATGTCATTAATCATTATAGTCGACCAAGAACAGTTGAAGATGTAGTTGAACAAGCAGAAGTCGTAGAAGTATTAAAACAATGCATGGATGGTGGTGACTTTCCAAATTTATTGTTTTATGGACCACCTGGTACTGGTAAAACTAGTACTATTCTAGCAGCAGCTAGGCAATTATTTGGTACCATGTACAAAGAAAGAATTTTAGAATTAAATGCTTCCGATGAAAGAGGAATACAAGTCATAAGAGACAAGGTCAAATCATTTGCCCAACTTACTGCTGGAAGCACAAAAAAAGAGTAAGTGTATTATCTTTTTCTTTCAGAGCTTTTTTCTTATACATCTGTGTATATATATATATATATTATACATTATTTTATTATACATATTCATTGCCAATGATGTGTCAGTAAAAGGTCTGAGAGATTAACTGAAGTAATAATGGTACAATTATTTAGAGTATAATTTGTTTAGTTGTTTTCAGGAGTTTGAATAAAGTATCTTCCTAACTCTTATTACCAACTAAATATAAAATTGCTTGAAGAGTTGAAAGAAATATTAGAGATATTATTAACTTTTGATCTCTTATTGTAAGCAGACATAGTAGTACTATGTTTCAGCATTGTACTTGTTGCTTTGTTATTCTCTATGATAACAACATTATACTGAGGCATATAGAATTGATTTACTATTTTATTTAATATTATATGAATTTATTATATGTGGATTTTAGATATGTTTACATAAATTGATTTCATATTTTTTAGCGGAAACAAATGCCCTCCATTCAAAATTATTATTTTGGATGAAGCGGACAGTATGACAAATGCAGCTCAAGCAGCTCTTCGTCGTACAATGGAAAAAGAATCTTATAGTACGCGTTTTTGTTTAATTTGTAATTATGTATCAAGGATCATAGAACCTTTGACATCACGTTGTACAAAGTTTAGATTTAAGCCACTTGGGGAAGAGAAAATTATTGAACGATTGGAATATATATGCGAGAAAGAAGATTTGAAAGCTGAAAAGCCAGTTCTTGTTAAAATTGTAGAAGCTTCGGGTGGTGATTTAAGACGTGCCATTACTTGTTTACAATCTGTCTCAAGATTAAAAGGAAAAGGCATAGAAGTTACGATCAATGACGCACTTGAAATCATTGGTGTAATTATACTCTATTCTGTTTATAAACTTTTCAGTAATAATACATTTCTCAACTGAATTTGTAGTTAGTACGTATTCTGAAGAAGCCTAACTTGCGATCAAATCTCAAGCTATATACATTTTATAAAAAGAGCTTTAAGGAAAAGCTTATAAAAAGAGCTTTATCATATTTGGATCACATTTAAAGAAAAATAATAAAATAAAAGAAAAATTTTTAATAAATTAAATTAAATAAAAATTTGCTCTTAGACTCTAGCCATTTAAAAATATCGGTTACTTTAACTGATGCTATATTTACTATAAGTAAATTATTATGCTATTTTTTATATATAATTTTATTATATATCTGATGTTTGTTTATCCAAGCCAGGTTTCTTCTCGAAGAATTATATTTACGTTATTTATTATAATTAATATTTATTTGTACAGTTTGTACCTGACGATTGGCTTGATAATTTAATGGATGTATGTAAATCTAAAGATAATAATAAGGTTGAAGCATTTGTAGAAAATTTTTTACTAGAAGCTTTCGCAACTTCACAGGTATTTTTTTAAATATTTTTGCTAATCTTTGTTTAGATATTGTCGTCTCTGTTATTTACATTTTATTGGCATATTTTTTTTTAGGTAATAGAACAACTAAACGAAAGAATAATTTATTCTAATGAATTTTCCGATAAACAGAAGGCAATGATAGCAGAAAAACTTGGGGTAAATAAAAATAATAAATTTTTAAATATATATTCATCTTTATCTATTGTCCCTCAAAGTTTGATATGTCATTACGGAAATATCGTGTTTAAAAAAAGGGAGTGATGTATGTGTATGAGTAATTATAACAATATTTTTGTTATGTTTTAGCAATGTAGTTATAGATTATTGGAAGGAGGCAGCGAATATATACAACTTATGGACCTTTGTTATTGTATTATAAAGGTATACAATTGAACAGAAGTATTCATCCCAAATAAAAATCGAACGTTTTTCTTTTCATCATTTATGTGGAATTGTATGTTATGTGTAATTTACCTACATATATTAAGAATAAAATAAAAATATTTTATATATATGGTTTAATTCACGTTTCTTTGAGTATCCAAGTCGTCAGGAATCTCTGTGTAAGCGTTTCTGGGGGTACAGTCAATTGAATTAAAGTAATAGAAGATTTACGTATATTGGTACGTATATTTGTAAATAAAATCACATTTCTTTTAAAATTAAATTATTATTAATGTTGTTATATTCAGCAAATAATGAGTATAAGTATTATTATCAATCTTATAAAGTATAGCATTTGTGTTCTATGTATGATTCCAAGTGACGCGTCATGGCCATTTGTTTCTGAAAGAGAGAAATTTTAATTATATTAACTATTTACTTGTACAATATCATATAAAAATGTGTTTTACATATTATATTTTAAAATAACCATATTTAAAATTCTATACTATACTTATCCAATTATTAAGAGGGTAAGGAACGTAGAATTTTAAACTTTTTATTTCTCTCTCTCTATCTCTCTCTCTCTCTCTCTCTCTCTACGCTCCCTCACCGTAATCATAATATTGCGGATCTTCTGTTGGTTCTTCTTCATCGCATTCTTCAGTAACAGATCTGATTCTGATATTTTCTTTTCTCGAATGCTGCTTGTGCTTCTTATTTGGATAAGGGAATATGATACGATTGAAACTTGCCATGCGAGCTTTTGGTCCAATGCTTTGATGTCCCAACTAAAAAAATCATGAAGGAAACAAATAAATACTAACCATCATCATGGTATTCGACAGTTGACTCCGTGTTGGTAACCTCATTGTCCTCTTCCTCCTCTAAATTTTCTTCATTTTCATTCTCTTCTTCCCCTGCAGCCTCATCGCCAATCTCATAATCTTCTTCTCCTTCGTCAAAGTCAATGTATTCGTCGTCATCGTTGTCGTCGTCGTCGTTGTCGTCGTCGTTATCGTCGTCGTCATCGTCATCATCGTCATCGTTATTCTCATCTTTATTTTTACTTATGATTGAATCTTTATGTCGTCTATATTCTTGATAAGCAAATTTGCCTCCTTCTGCACTGTAATCTGTATTTCCATATCCATACTTATCATGATTTATGCTTTGCAAAAGGTGTCGACCCAATGATCTCATAGATTTCATATATTTTGGAGTTACTAACGGGATCTCTTTTTGAAAAACAATTTTGTTAAACTTTGTCAATCTTAGACATTTTATGTTTACAAATGATATAGAAACATTGTTGGCAAGTACCTTTAAAATCATTATTATTAGATACTCCATTGCTTTTCCGGCGGCTATTGTTACTTAATCCTTTTTCGAAAGTGCATATAAATATATTTTTTTGAAAATAATCATCAATGGAAAGATAACTTTGATTAATATCGAGGGCCTTTGGAGCTGAATAATTGTTGATCATTTGTTGTTATAGAATAATTACAAACAAAAATGTATAAATATATCAGCTTTTTTATGAGCTTATGATTTGACGTTAATTTATATCGTACCTTCTAAGAGCATATAGTTGAATTTCCTAAATTCTGTCAATTTCAATGAATATAAATTTTCGAAATTAGAAATTGAACAATTGTATAGTTGACAAAATAATTTGATCGCGTAATAACTATTAATGATCTTTATTATAAATGGAGCATCATCTAATTCTACAAAAACCTAAATGATGAAACAAATATAAAATTATATTAGATTTCTTTAATAATTAAAATAATCATTATTATATATACTAATATATGAAATTGATGATATCTTACAGTATAAAAATAATCTCTGTTCTCTAAGAAAGCATATTGCTCTACTTGCAAACGTCTAATCCAAAACGTTATATCATAATTCGATATATCATAATATGTTTCTTGTGAATTAGCAGATAATTGATCCTCATCATTTACGAGTATATCATTGCTCCGACGAATTTTACCACGCGATAGAATAAGGAAAGTTAATAAGAATGTAAAGATAAACATAGCATTTGTATTGACATCAAAGAACTTGGCAGATCAAAACATTTGCATCCATTTGCGTTCATTTTTCGCACAATAAGTCTTAATCGCAATATATATCGATTATTATACTCCTCGCATCATTTATTGTCTCTTTATACAGATAAATAATCAATATTTTGTTTATTCAAAACATATGATCTTGGACTGTGGTTCGAGAGAAGTAACGTGTTATGGATTTTATAAAATTCAACGAAATTCTAATTAAGAAAATTCACATCATTATTAATAATAATAATAATAATAAATTAATATAAAAAGGCATTTTTAAAAATGGTCGAACAGTAGTAAAATTGGCGTTGTGATTTGTATTTCCCGCGCAGGTTATATCGCGCTCTGTTGACAAATTCATGAACCAAGAGTAAATTCGTTTCGATTAGTTCTTCGGATCAGTCGCAATTCAGTCGTTTTTTGACTCCTGGTTGAATTGGTAGTTCTGTCTAGACTTGGTAAAAATATTAGAACGTTTTCGGGGTTAGAGAAAAGAGCTTTATTTAGCGAGCTTTATGAGTGATAACGAAGCCAAAATGAAGAGTGAGATCGACGTGCGGTTATATATGAATATAAAGAATGCATTGTCAAGACTCGAGGTTAGAACTAAGTGTAAGAACAGTGACGATGAATCGTGATCTTAGTGGTTGGCCTTGTCCACTTCAGCAGTCATCGTCGTCGTCGTCGTCGTTGTCGTCGTCGTCGTCGTCGTCGTCGTCGTCGTCGTCGTCGGCGGCAACATTTCGTCCTACTCACCGCTGTTGTCCTTTTAACAGCGGTGTAACAATTGACGAAGAAAAGTTGGCAGAGGAAGAGAAAAAGAGAGAGAGAGAGAAGTGGAGCAACGGCAACGGCAACGGCAACGGCAACGGCAACTGCAACTGCAACTGCAACTGCAACTGCAACTGCAATAGCGTTAGTTTAGTAATAATTATAGCAATAAGAGTAAAAACAACATAACACAACAACAACAATAACAATAACAATAACAGCGAGGGTGACGTGGGGGGCGCCAAAGATCGCATGGAATGGCAGCGGCCTTGAAAAAAAACCATTCTCGGAGAAGATTGGCTGCTTTGACATTTCTATCGAACATCTCTCTGGATGGAAGTCATCGTGATACAAAACTGGCAATTCTATCGCGCAAGTCTACCTTTCCTGGGGTTGCTGGAATTGGGGGAGAAAGAAAGGGTACAGAACACGCGCGAACTTTAAGCGACGGTGGGAAAAACCGTAGACGAAGTTCGACACCGAGATTCGAATTTGAAGAAGATTCCTTTGAAGAAACAAGTTCACCTTTATTATTGTCCTCGAAACAGTATATTGACAGCTCAATGACTATCGATCAAGATGATAAACAATGTCACCGACTAGATTGTCTGTCTGGTGCTGATTCCTCGTCTTCTCCTCGTGACTCTCATAAACAAATTTATTGTGCGAACAGTTCAAGGCGCAGAGATTCAATTAATTGTTCCGATGAATCTCTTGTCCCCACTAAGGTGGCTGTAGCTGCCTTTCTAGAACAAGAAAGAAACTATCCACATTTACCTTCTTCGGGATTGCATACTGGTTCCTTTAGAGAACGGTAACAATTTATGTCCTTTTTATGTTTTATTTTTTCATTGTGTGTTATCCTCGAAACTTCATTCTGACTCGTTATATAACATGTATCTGTCTCCATTAATTATCTAATCTCTACTATAATAATCTTCCTCAGCTAGCATTCGGTTGTTTTCACTATAATAATGGTCATAGTTGATTGAAGAAACCATCTAATTCGGTTATATTTTCTCTTCTTTTCTTGTACGAAGCAATGGATTTCAGTAATATTCTATTCCGACTATTTTCATTTGCTAATTCAATTGCTTATGATTGTTCATTGTAAATACATATATACGTATTTGAAGCATCAAGTCAATGATTTAAACTTACAAATTAAAGAGACTTTATATTTATGGGTGCGTGCGTGTGTGTGATGAACTATATTATATACAGTACCATTGGTTTAAATGTATTAATAATAAAATCTATTAAAAGATAACGTAAATGATTGATACTGCAGCACTGGAACAACTGGGAGCGATTATTCTTTGCTCGAGAGACGTGTTGGCTCGTTGCAATATAAAAAACGGATAAGTCATCAAACATCAACGCTATCCGAAGATATAAAGCATCGATGTAATAGCAGTAATGAAAGCATTGGTTCACTTCGTTCCAAATCACAATCAACATCTTTCAAGGCAAAGGGAAAACATACAACAAACAATTCTTGCAACAATAACATACAACAAACCGGTACTACTAATAATATACCGGAGATTACAAGAACGATACGATTGGTACAACGACCGGCTAACAGACAAAAATTTGGAGACGACAGGCTTGTTTTGGTTTCTGATAAATACGTTCCATTTGTAATATTCTCGACTCTTCCTTACAACAAGGGTCGTTTAAGTTGGTAAGTAGAGACAAAAAATGATAATAAAAACATTACACCGTATGGTGTGTTCCACGTATATAAAATACGAGAGAAATAAAACTTGGTACAAATATTTCACTTATAACACATGTTTTAAAAATGATATTGATTTTTGCATCAAACTTTGTACTTCAATTTGAACAATGAATATTTACATACATATTTAGATATTTTAGATTTTACATTTGAAATTATTTATTTTCGTCCATTATTTTCGTCGAAACACTGTGTGTTCTGTTAATAATATAACATACAGTCACACTACTTCATATTACGTATTATTTATAGGTCCGAATTGAGGAGAGATACAGGAAAAAGGAAAAACGTTTCATCTCAAAGACCGCTGTCCGCTATTAATGATACTATCGATCCATTTGGTCTTCTTGGTATAGAAAGAGCTAAAGACGGACAGGTACATACTTAAACGATCAATTTAAGATTCGTTATTTTGATTTATTTTATCATATATTTTCAAAATCAATTATATCGTGATTCCATTAATAAGTATCCAAAATTACTATTACTCATATATATACTTTGCATTTTTGAAGTAGTCATTAGTGCAACTTTGAAAAGAAACAAGTTCTTCCTCGGAGAACAAAATTGCTCTTTTTCTTCTTTTAATCAAACAATTATGTCATGTTTCTTTACAAATACTACTAATAAAGTGGACATTTATATATTTTTTATTAAAACATTTTTTTCTTTAATCTCAATCGACATTGAATAGAAGTTAATTTTGACTGATCTGGTAGAGATGGATACACATAACAGATTTCGGATATTTACGATACTATTCATATAAAAGAGATTTATTTTTGGTATTAATTGTATCCAAATTTCTTTCTATTGTATTTTTTTTTTTTCATTTTCTTCTTTTTTGTTTTTTTTCCCCTTTTTTCTATTCCAGGAAATATCCTACGAACGATTGTTGGTGCCATCGAGACAATTTCAAAGAGAGAGAAAGTTATACTCGACCGAAAGTGAAACGATAGAGTTATCTCATGTTATAGCAAATAAGCATCATCACCCGGTACAAAGGTATTTCTTCAAGATAAAGCAATTTTATTTGTTAGAAGAATGTTTCAAGTATGTGTCTGAAGCATCTATCTCCATTTGTATTAGCACGCACATTATCTTACTATATTTAGAATGAATTATTACCATTCACTAATTTCATTCGTGTATTAATTGTTTTTTCTTATTAATATCGTAAGTTAAATCATTTTACCCTTTAATTTCTTTTTTTCTCTCACAACTAATAGAAGTTTCTGGTATCATACATTAAAATAATAGTATTATAATAATATAAAATACTTTTTTCACATTCAATCACATTCTATAACAACATCGCTTCAAAATCATCTTTTTGCAGGACAAAAACTATAACATGGAACTTGGATCACACAAAATGGTAAAACTTATTTTCCCTCCTCCCCTTTGCAGTTAAAATACAACAAATATAATTATAGACAAAGTAAGCTAGAATTGTTAGTGAAATTTGTTTTCTTTTTTTTTTGCACGACATGTGTTTGGTGTAGGCCAATCGTAAAATTAGCACTCCGCATAAAAGATTCCTTATTATGGATATCTTATTTTATATTTGTATTTATGTTGATTTTTTTTTCGTTCATCGACAGAAAATAAATGAGTGGAATAATAGTACATTACATACTTAGGGCGGTAAAGTAAGAAATGTCTCAGAGCACATGTAATTCAACAAGTCAACAAACATGTGCTCTGAGACATTTCTTATTTACTGCCCAAGGTGTGTATACTATTTGTCCGCCCGGAGGAGAGAAGAAGCATTTAAAACTAAACTATGAAATAAGAAAAAATGAAAGATACACTAATATCGAAATTTTAAGTTTGAGTTAGCAGATTATAGAATATTTGTATTTAGAGATATAGAATAATTACAATAAGATATTAGATAAGATATTTCTGATTTATTATATAATAATAAAACCTCTAATTCGATTAAATATTTATTACCGGTTAGTGAATCAGTAAATATGATAAGTCCTAATTCATTTAAATATTACTTTAATTAATAATTTTGTTCACATCTGCACATTATTCACTCAATGGATATATGGTCATTCTTACGCAAAAAGCCATCGTCGTTTACGCTTTAAGGGAGTATTTCAATTTTCGCGTGTCAACAAGTAGCAGCCTTTGGGAATGTCCTTTTGAAAAAATAAAAACCATACAAAAGCGATATTTGATTATGATATTTATTCATTTCTAAAGAAAATAAATATAAATATTTATAGTTATAGAAATTACATCTACTTAAAAGTTGTACCGCTGAGTGTGTAATGATGATTAATGGCATTCTATCTTTTTGACACAAAAAACCAGAATACAACTTAACATAAGTTTTTATTTTTTTCATAAATCAATGTGTATTGTCCATTAATTTTATTGGTAGCTCACTATTATTATTATTATTTTTACCATCATCATTGTATTTTTTAACCGACTTCTTATTATATGCATGTCATCAGTATATGTAATGACACTTATAGGAGCATGTAAATTTTACATAATAGATAAGTAATATTTTTTGTTATTATTTATTACAGGTGTCTTTCATATGACACAGCAACACATCGTTTGCAGCATAATGCTCCTGAATCTCCCCCGTTGTCTTTTGGTGCTGATCCTATCAGTAAATGTATATAATAATATACGATCTATTTGATATTTAGCAAAATGACTAGTTTTTCAATATCATTTTTCTAATAATTTTCTATTGAATTTATTTAGTTTATGATTGGGACGAACAATCCTTGCAGTACAATCCAAATTTGTTAGATGATCCAGAGCTTATTGCAGGAAAGCATAGAACTCTCTTGACTTTTACATCATACATGGTATTTATTTATTTATATATATATATATATATATATATATATATATATAATATGCATGCGCGTGCGTGTGTGTAAAAATTTGTTTGTTTATCCTGTGTAAAGTAAAAGAAAGTTGTCGTTAAGTGAATATTTGTCTCTCTTAAATGTTATTATATAATATTTTGTTTGTGTGCAGGCATCGGTAATTGATTATGTGAAACCTTCTGATTTAAAAAAAGAATTGAATGATAAATTTAAGGAAAAGTTTCCACATATAGAATTAACGCTCAGTAAATTACGTAGGTACGTATTGTAACATTATTGTGTGGTAAGATTATTTTTCGACACCCTGTATAAAATATCTTAGGGGAAAAATATAAATTTTGTTCTGATTAATTTAAACTTATAGTTTAAAACGAGAAATGCGAAAGATAGCCAAGACAGAGTATGGTATTGATATGTTGACTGTGGCGATGGCTTATGTATATTTTGAAAAATTAATCCTTCGTAATATTGTGACCAAACAAACCCGCAAATTGTGCGCAGGTGCTTGTTTACTTCTTGCAGCAAAATTAAATGATGTTAAAGGCGATGTTTTGAAATCGTTGATCGAGGTACTTATTTTTATTAGTAAATTTATAATCGTTCGTTTATTAATAATTCATCTTAAAACATTTTACAGAGGATAGAAAGTGTATTTCGTTTGAATCGTAAGGATCTGATAACATCTGAATTTGCTGTACTCGTCGCATTAGAATTTGGCTTACACCTTCCAAATTGGGAAATATTTCCTCATTATCAACGTTTGATATACGAATCTTGACCTTCCTTTTCATCCTTCTTCGTACAAAGACGTCAAACATTATCTTCTTAATTGTGCAAGAAGTTGAAGATAAATATCATCGATCCTCGCTAATGTTGAATAAAAATAAAACCGAAAATGAAATGTGAATTGAACATTTAAAAAAAGAACATTGATGGATGTTTAATGATAAAGCGCTAAGTATAACAATTATGCATCAATGTGATATAAGATTAAAATAGAAATAAATTATGCATCTTCATTTTTACACATACATAAATCTGAACATTGAAAGAGCTTGTAATCATCTTAATAAATTAAAAATGAAAGAAAGAAAGAAAGAAAGAAAGATATTCTTATAGAGAGAAAGAAGACAATATAACATAACAGCTCAACATTTTATTTCTTATTTTATTGTGGCAATGAATTTATATTTTCACGCATAGTATAATTATTCATGAAAGCAAATAAGGCATAAAAGAGACTAATGATAAATAACTAATTTCAGTTGCATCAGAATGTTAATTCACCGGAGTGAAGCTCAAGAAATGTAAAAAATAACATCGAAATGAAAATAATTCTATAATGAAACAATGTTAGAATATCATTCTTTTTTAAAATTCAAGATAATAAATATACAATCATGATTAAGATAATATCGAAATAAACACGATACAGTCCTAATTACTATTTTATTATTTACAGTGATTTATTTTTAACTCAAAACTTGATTATTATATGTTTATAATAACTTTATTTTGTTTTTAACTGTTTTAATTTAGATAGGGCTTTATGAATATGATTTGCTAATCATATTCATAATAAAATAAAAAAAGAAAGGAAATATTTTATTTCTTATTTCAAATGTAGACAAATTAATTTAATGTTTTATGCACAATTTTAAAGTTTCCTCATATATGTAATAGATTAAATGATTAAAAGACTCTTATATAATTTAAATTTAATAAAATCTTACAATTAGTAGTTTGATTTCAATATTGTTTATTTTACCAAATCTGTGTGTATTATCTTGATCATCAAATTAAATTATTTCATATTACATACTTTATGTTTATGCACATAAAAAATAGTTTAAACCATTAAATCTGTTATCTTATAAATATAAAATACACATTCTACTACTGATTGTAAGATTAATTCAAGATTATAGCAGCTAATTCACCTAAATGCGATGAGCAACAAATATAAAATTTCATCATATATATAAAGAAACTAAAGAAATTTCTTTACTAATGATATCTATCTATTAATGCCTTCACTCGTAAAAATGATAAATGGGATTTCATTGGATCATCTTAAGTGACATACTATGTATATTTTATATTGTTCTATTATGAATATGTTTTACCAATAGTTAATTATTTATAATATTTTATCTAAATGTATCATATTCTCACATGTTTAACAGTTTATAAAATTTCTTTCATTTTATCATTGCCTTATAATTGTGTGAAGTGCTGTAGATATAATTATAATATAATTCCATTAAAAAGGATTTTTAAAGAACGATTATTAATATTTTGTGAAGATGCTAATTGGAAAATGAAATACTTATTTTTAGAATATTGTATATTAATATGTACATTTCATGCTTTTTAAATATTTATATCAATTTATATAGATTTAATTGAAATCAACGTGATGGATATTATTAATCACTTTAGTTACCTAATTATTAAATATAAATATGATATTCTTTTTTAACTTGTATCTATTAATGTGAATGAATCAATAACTATTACCGCTTCTAACCTTTTTCTATTAACGACCGTTGTAGAAAAGATTGTTTGATAAAACTTAAACTATATATAAAAGGGACCATGATACGATGATGACAATGAGTTTTTCTTAAGTTTTCATTTCGTTAATAAAAACATTTTTTTTTTTTTTTTTTAATTTTCATAGTTTTTCATATCTAAAGTGGTAATAGTTATTGAATCATTCCATATAACAATCTAAAATTATGTAAATAAATTAGTTAATATAGGTATATTACGCCATATTCGTGTATTTCTATGTTTATCGCGTATTTCGTCAAGATACAACTTCCGCGTAAAATATTACATTTCTTTACTTTTAAACAAACTTATTACAAAGTAAGTTTATGTATATGTATATAATCCTATTTACATACAAAGATATGATGATACAAAGAGAATACAAACTGTTAAAAAGGCATGCAAATATTATGTGTAGATATATATAAATGTTACTCATAAGGCAATTTAGTGAATAGCTTTGTAAATTTATTTTAATATTATATTTTAACTGTCACATAAGAAATCTGTTATATTTTGTAGCTATAATATATGTTCGTATGATAGAAAGGATAAAGGGATTCAAAATTTCAAGATTTTTATGATTGATATCTTCTTCAAAATAGTATAGCACATATAAGCTTATATGTATATATACTAATATATATATATATATATATATATATATATTAGAATTTGATGTACATTAGCATAGAGAACATGATGTATATTATATAATACAATACTATTGGTAATTATTATAGCTTTGATGATTATAATTATTATTTTTTACAACATATAAATATAGAATAATCATTCAAAATTAACACACCCAAATATTATAGGTTGTTTTAAAAATTATGAAAAGACAAGAGATTAATCGATTAATTTCTAAAAATTAAATTTAAAAAAGAAAAAAAAACAACAGTAAAGAAAGATTTTCAAATGCATTTATTTTATTAGAGAAATACTTGATCGATATATGTAATAAGTAAACAAGGACATTATATGGCGCACGCACGCGCATTCGATAAAATGCATATTTGAAATTCCCGCGTTAACAACAATGTTACCCAAGCAGCACCAGTAGTGATAATGATACATGATAATAAATACTCGTGCTTGACAACATTACATAAATCTTCTAATTTAAAGAGATTTTAGTTCTATAAAGCACGTGTAATGAAGATCGATATGACAACGATGAAATGTATATTATAAGCAGAATACACACACACACACACAATGTTTTTAACTTGTAACGATTTAACATTAATTAATTTTAAGTAGATACAAAGTGATAAACAAAATATAAACATGCAATAATAGGAAATATTAATGAATACAATATTTCCATAGACATATAAAAGAAAGAAAATCATTTGTAAAAAGCAGTAATAATGAAGTTACAACATAAAATATGGTTTGTAGTGAATTTTTATTATGAAAAATAATAAATGATAAACATTGATTAATATTATTATATTTTTCAGTATGATATCAGACTTTTTTTATCCCAATATGGGTGGCGTCGAAGAGCATATATTTAATTTATCACAGTGCTTGTTAGAAAGAGGACATAAAGTTGTAGTATTAACGCATTCATATAAAGATAGAATTGGAATACGTTATATGACCAATGGATTAAAAGTATATCCACATATGTATAAGATATTAGCAATTTCTTATTTAGACTTTTATCTTGACTTATCTTGACTTTTATTTTACATATTAAAGGTATATTATATTCCAGTCAGAGTATTTTATAATCAATGTATCTTACCAACGATGATATGTTCTATACCTCTTATTCGGTATATACTAATAAGAGAAGAAATAGAAATAATACATGGACATTCTGCATTTTCTGCTTTAGCACACGAAGGAATGTTAATTGGCAGATTAATGGGCTTGAAGGTAATATGTAAATTTTTATATGTTTAATATTGTTACATTATAATGTATATTTTGTATATTTTGTATATTTCGTTTTCCAGACAGTTTTCACAGATCATTCATTGTTTGGCTTTGCAGATGCATCTGCTATTTTAACAAATAAATTTTTAGAAATTTCTTTAGCAGATTGCGATCATTGTATATGCGTATCGCATATAGGAAAAGAAAATACTGTTTTGCGAGCAAAGGTTCATAAAGAAAAAGTATCCGTTATTCCAAATGCTGTAGATGCCATGCTTTTTACACCCAATATTAATAAACGAAGTAAAGAATTCAGTAAGTTACTTTGATTGTTAGTTACTTCATTATAAAAGATCTAAACAATTAACTATAACTATATGATTTTACATTCCTACACGTACTTTTCAAATGATGTAATATAAAATGTCATTATTTTGGTAGTTACTATAGTAGTAGTATCACGATTAGTTTATCGTAAAGGAGTTGATCTCTTAGCCCATATAATACCTGAAATATGTTCACGACATGATAATGTGAACTTCTTAATTGGGGGAGACGGTCCAAAGCGTTGGCTTATAGAAGAAATACGAGAAAGAAATTTATTACAGCACAGAGTTACGTTGCTTGGAAGTTTGGAACATGCTCAAGTTAAGCACGTTTTGAATAAAGGTCATATATTTTTAAATACTAGTCTTACAGAAGCTTATTGTATGGCAATTGTTGAAGCTGCCTCTTGTGGGTATGCATTTTCTAAAACTATGCTCAAAAATTATACATAAAAGCATTGATTTTAGATTAATTTTGGTCTTTTTAGTTTACAAGTTGTATCTACTAAAGTTGGAGGAATACCTGAAGTATTACCACCAGATTTAATTTATTTGGTGGAACCAACAGTGCCAGATCTTATTAAAGGATTGGAGCAAGCTATGTCAGATTACGTGAAAGGAAATATAAGTTCTCCGTTTGAAGTGCATAGAAGAATAAGTTTATTTTATAATTGGTTCAACATTACTAAAAGAACTGAGATTGTTTACAATTTAGTCTCTAATGAAGCAAAGAAAAATTTAGGTCAACAATTAATAAGTTACATTCAGAGCAGTGTATTACCATATCTGTTAGTGGTATCTCTATGCTACATTATATTAAAACTTTTAGAATACATGGTTCCTAGAAAGGTAAACTATAAGATTTTATTTATATTTATACTTACAATTAGATTGACACACACACGCACAATACATTTTCAGTATATTGACATCGTAAAGGATTATAAAGGAAATCATATAGCATCTTCAAAGAAGAAAAAATGGTAAATAAAAAAAAAGTAATTTATATATTTGTAAGAATTTTACGTAAACACATATTTCTTTGTTCAATTTTATACTTCCTTTCAAATATTATATATAATTATTTTTATATATGTTAAAACTAGAAAATGTAACGAAATTAAATGAAGGGAATTTTTAAAGAAAGAATTATACGTTTTTAATCAATTTCTCTTATTGCATAAAAAAAAAAGTATTAAATTATCCATTTTATTTGGAAGAAATAAGTATATAGAAATTAATGATTCATTTACCAAGTTATTTATGTTTGAATAACTATTATTTTTATTCTTTTTGTGTGAATATGTGTACATTTATTTCTATTACATTTAAAATTAAAAATATCTACGCGTAATTTAATTAAACATGACAGAGAAATATGTATTTGTGGTCAATTTTAAACAGCATAGTTAAATGTTTATGAAATAAATCCAAAATATTATGAGTACAAAATATCAATAATATATCCAAAGAAAGATGTTACTATAAATAATGTTTAAAGAAAAAGAATTTAAATTTTATGCATGCTTTTATATTGTCTTTTTTTTTTTTTATCAGTAAAAGATAATGCAACAACAGAATTTCTATTTTTGAATTTCTTTTTCTATTATCTTTTAGGTATGAATAAAATTATATAAAAAAAAACTAGCATATATTTTTGAGAATAACAATTATTTCAATCATATATAATATATAGAACAAATAATCAAAACTATCGAATTGAAAATATAGTAATATTTATTTTAATATGTTGTCCGTTAGATACAATAATAATAATATTGATACAATATCAATTATCTGTTTCTGCCTAATCATCATTGGTATTACTGTACATTTTTCTATTTATACATCAATCTTTTATATAAGAACCAATAGAATTCTTCTAAAAGTATTTTACACAAATTCTAAAAGAAAACCAATGAACCTTAATGAACAATTATTATAATATTATGAGCGGTCAGATCTGTCGTAACATTCCGTGCAAAGGATAGAGTATCCATGTTATTTTATTAATCTATAAGTTCAATTAGAAACAAAAAGTTGAAATGACTAAAAATACTTATGCATCATGTGAAATCAGATAAGTGAATTTTTAAACATAATATTTATGGTTATAGATAAAACATTACTGAAGTTTTATTTACTGTAGTAATTCAATTCTGCAACGATTCCATAATGCTAGACATCTAATTGAAAATAAAAAATACAAAATGAATGCTGGTAAGACTTAGACATGCATTATTTTTAGTAATTGTAGTAGTAATAATGGTGGTAATAATAATGATAATAATAATAATAATAATAATAATCCTGTATTTTCTATAATGGTTTGTAAAATTATTAGCAAATGTTTCAATTTTATAATTTTGTACAATGTCTGCACAATAGTTACAAATACAAATGATTACTTTTTAAAACTTATTAAATAATAAAAAAATTCATGTTCTGCAGATAATACGAAGTAATACATCTATCTTTTTTGAGGGGGGTAAAAAAGAAGAAGAAAGCCATATTTATAAACATAATATAAGTTACTATTATACAGGTTAGTATGCGAAGCATAGCAAGAGCAATCTTGCTTGCAACTTTTCATTCATCATTTATTACTTGGAAACAATGTATTATTACATATAACATTTTCTTATGGATCATAGTATAGTTTATATTTATTACCATACGAAAGATTTGTTTACTGCAGAAAAAGTGCGATTTACTGTTTTCTAAATGGTTTATGAAATATAATATAAAGCAGAATTTATATATGACATTTGCTAGAAATTAAGAAATCCATAGGATTCATATATACGACATGCTCGATTGCTTAACACTGATGCACATTATGCTGTGCTCTGTACAATGATGAAATATACACACATATACATATATATATATATATATATATATATATATATATATATATATATAT